TACTTGATACAGACACCTGCGGTAGGGACTGTGGCAGGGAATTGTCATCACAGACAAGAAGTGTCTAGGGGCTGTGGCAGCACAGCTGTAGGGTTAGAGAGAAAACACTCACTCTAAGAATATAGCTTTCAAGGTTCATAGGCCATGTCCAGAGTTATCATTCGTCAAAAACCTCCTTATCCCTGAATCATTGGCGTGAAATTGTTTATTGAAGACAAAGAAGAGCCACAATAAACAATTTGCCATTTGGTGATTAGATTGATCTAGAAGAATTGACTAAGGCAGGTCAGAAACATCTGACTCAAAAATCAGTCAAGATATGTGTGAATTGTGGATTTTAAGATCAATTTGTTCAATAAATATTTACTGAGTATATATTACATTACAAGCATAGTTTTGAATAAGAAAGCCTGTGAAATCTCTCTGTGGTTGTGCTGTTTTATACCATTTAATGAATTAGTTTAATTTAGTTTTGTTAGCTGGTTAATGGTACTCTCCTTTACTTTCTAAGGTGTCTACTGTGTGACTAACTTTGTGCTGAGGTTCATCCCATCTTATTAACACCTCTTGCAAGGAAGTGTTCAATTTCCATAATGTAGATTTACCTGCCTCCCACCAGTCTTACCCACAAAATGGTCAATAATCAATGGCTCATAGAGGGACACTATGAAGGAGGAGATGAATTTTCTTTCTCTGCTCTCCCTTCCCTTCACTATTCCTCCAAAAGCAGGTTCACCATCAAGTGGCTCATTTTGCACACCTTCAGGCCCTCTTTTTTCAATCAATGTTCCACAGTCCAAAATACTCATTCTCTCCAATTTCTTCCTCCCACCTCTAACTCCTTTTCTCAGTGCCCAGAATTTGAATGGTAATGATAGTTGATAAGTGGTCTTGTGTTGTAATTTCATCTTATATTTGCATTTGGAAAGCAAATGTATAGAGTAGAAATCTTAAAAGGAGTGTTTTTAAAAAAATTTTTAATTTTACCATTTTAACAAATTTTACGTGTACAATTCTGTGGTATTAAGTACATTTACATTGTTCAACCAGCACCAACATCCATCTTTAGAGTTCATCTTGAAAAACTGAAAATTTGTTCTTATTAAACAACAATTCCCTATTCTTCTGTCTCTCCAGCCCCTATAAACTACCATTATACTTTCTTCTTCTAAGAGTTTGACTACACTGGATACCTCATGTAAGTGTAATCATGCACTTATTGGTCATTTTATGACTTATATCATTTAGCATCATGTCCTCAAAGTTCATACACGTTGCAGGATGTATCAGAATTTCTTTCCTTTTTAAGGTTGATAATATTCCAGTGTGTGTATATATCACATTTTACTTATCCATTCATCTGTTGATGGACATTTGGGTTGCTTCCACCTTTTGATGGAAACATAGATATATATAATACTCTCTATATTTTGGGTATACACCCAGATTATTTCAATTTTCTGAGTATATTCTCAGAAGTGGAATTGTTGGATCATATTGAAATTCTATTTAAAAATTTTTAAGAACGATTTGTATGGTTAATTTGAACAACTATGCTCTAGACTGCTTTATCACAAACAAGTTTCAAGGAACAGAGAGAGAGAGAGTGTTCAATGGCCATGAATTAAGTTCCAGTACCCTGGTGGTTCACCAAAGCCTAAAAGAGTTTGTCACTCTTGCTACAGTGCATTGCTCCAGTCAGATGCCTATTAATTGGTCTGAAAGGAATGCTCATGCCTCTACCTAGTGGTCAGCTCTTGGACTGTAGTTTGTGTATCATTTATAATATTTTCTTTCCTCTTTTGGTGAAAGAGCCAAACCTGCAATTATTTAATTATTTTTTATTAGTTCCATTTGCTTAAATAAAGAACCTGTTAACATATTGTCTTCAAATATTTCAAAGCCTCAAGAAGAAGTAATTTGCAAATCTCTAGTCTCTCAGATTTTCTCTGAAAATAATCTATAGTGTTAAAAATGAGTGAACAGGTTTTCACTATCAGAGAGATCTGTGATCAAAACTATTAGCTCTGCCACGAACTTTCTAGACACGTGAGCTTTGTTTCATTACTTGTAAAACAGGAGAGTGAGGCCCTACTTTGTATTTTATTGTGACAATTTATCAATAATGTATCCAAAGAAATTGACAAGTAGCAGATGATAAATGAAGGAAGGTAACCTCAGTATGTACAGAAAAAGTATTTGGCAAATCTAGAATTCATTCCTGATTAGAAACTCACAAAGAATTAGGAATTGAAGAGAATTTCTTCAACTTAATAATGGGCCTCTACAAAAAACCTATATCAAATGTCCTACTTGATGGTGAAAGACAATGCTTTCTCCCTAAGATCAGCTTTAAGGGAAGAATTTTGGCTCTCATCACTTCTATTTAATATTGTAATAGCCAGTGCAATACGGAAAGAGAAAGAAACAAAAGACATACCATTTGGAAAAGAAGAAGTGAACCTATCTTTATTCACAGACAGCTTAATTTTCTGGGTAGAGAATCCAAAGGAATTTGCAAAAAAAAAAAAAAAGGTGCTAGAATGAATTAGTAAGTTTAACAAAGTCAAATATAAACCTACCATATGATCCAACCATTCCATTCCCAGGTATTGACCCAAGAGAAATGAAAGCATGCGTCTATAAAAAATCTTATACACAGATGTTCATAGAAGCTTTATTTGTAACAGCCCTAAACTGGGACTAACCAAAATGTTCCTCAATAGGTGAATAGATAAACACATTGTTTATATCTATACAATGGAATACTACTCAGCAACCAAAAGGAATGAACTATTGATACTTATGAAACCATGGAAGAATCTCAAGATAATTATACTGAATGAAAGAAGTCAGACAAAATAGTGCATATGATTCTATGTATATAAAATTATAAAATATGCAAATGAATTTATGACAGAAGTGTTGCCTGGAAATGGGAGTGGGAGGGGAGGAAGGATTGAGAGAAGGATTACAAAAATACATGAGGAAATTTTTGGGGTGATGCCTATGTTCATTATCTTGATTGTGGTGATGGCTTCATCCGTATATACAAATGTCAAATCTAATAAAATCGTTTACTTTAAATAGGTGCAGTTTATTTTTATGAAAATTATACGTTAATAAAGCCATTAGAAATCCAAATTTAACAAATATCTCCCCTCAATGTTGTACAAGTCTTCTTCTGTGACCCAAAATGCAAAGTATTTCTCCTCTAGGTTCTAATTGGCCTTAAACTATGTTTTTTTTTTTAAACTATACATAACAACTTTCTGCACCCCCGTGCTGTACCATTTACTTTCAACTCAGCATCATCGCAACTTATTTTGCATTCTCCTTGTCTATCAGAATAGAAGTTTGTATCAGCTTTTCCAGAATTCTTTCTAGCAAAGTTTTGTGCCAGGTTCTGACAACGTGATGTGGAAGGTGGAGGAGAAGGGAAGAGATACATGAACCCAAGCAGTATCCAGGCCTGAATTTCTTACTTAAGTCCGAGTCTGGGAGATATTCACACACTGACTCTGGACTCACGTCTCTTGATCTGAATCTGTGGAGGGTGAACTCCAGCAAACAGACTGATCTAAGCTTCCATCTGTGTGTCTGGGGATAAATGTTTACAGGGCCTCACAGAAGATGTGTTCTTCTCCAGCACTTCATCCTGATAATGCTCAGAGGTTTTCTGTTTTGTTTCATAAAACAAATGGTCACAAAAAGGGAGCTAAAGAAGTGCTTGTTTTTGTTGCTGGTAATTCATAGTAAAAGATCAGTTTATTAAAATTTCTTTAGTTGGGGGATATTTTCCCACACTGATCCCAGAGCTTTCTCCCTCATCTTGGAGGACCATCTTGGCCTAGGACAGTTGTCACAAATGAAGTATTGTAAACCAGTGTCAGGCTGGCTGCAACAAAACCAACTGGGGAGCTTTTAAAAATTACAACTTAGTGGGTGTCAGTCCTGGAAAATATGATTCATGAAGTTAGTGGCGGGATCCCAGAATCGACAATTTAAATCATTCACACATTGATTCTGTTATCAGCTGTTGTATGAATATAAGCTGGTATGTCTTTAAGAATTTGAAAAGCTAGGAAAGAAGACAGTTCTAACTTTTCTCCAGGCTTTTGATGCAAATCTACGTCTTCTGGGTTCCCTACCCTGTGGGGGAAAGTTATTTGATTAAATTTGGGCACTAAAATTTGGCAGATGGACCACAGTGGAAAGCATCCTTGAGACTAGATCTCTGTTTGAAATATACGATTAGTATTCCTTGACTGATCCACATAGGTTTACCATCTTATCTCAGAGTCAATGAAATAGTGGGAGAATAAGATATTGATCTCAGATCATTCTATAGGACTTTTGTAACTTCAGTTATGATGTTTCTTCTGTCTAGGATTCATATTTTTCACTTTTTAATGATTTTGAAATTCAGGAAGATTCAACTATTGATAAGATAGTGCGACTTTTTCTCCTAAAAAGCTTTTATTAAAAAGGTACCATTCCTGACAATTAATCTTACTTTAAGACTGAGGAAATATTGTATTTCAAGTAGTAGTGAATCCTCCATCAAAAACTGTTTATTCATTATTTTTGTTTAATTTAACAAATATTTAGTGAGCACATAAGTGTCAGTCACTGTTCTATATATTGGGATACAGTGCTGAGAAACACAGAATCACTCAGTAATGTCTTACTTCTTATTACTTCCTAGGTATTCAATTCCAAACCCTTTTCTGGTATTCTAATGAGCTATTGGCTGGCCCATAACGAATATGCGACAATATAAAGTACTTGTATTAAAATGCTCAAGAAAATTGACATCTCATCTACAGAAATACCCTAGGATGCTCTGTTAAAGAACTTCAATGTCAGGTGAGGTCCTAAGAACAAAATAGACCTGAGAGATTACGGTACCTGTCGTCCAGATTTCTAAGCACCACCTGAAGACTGACATATACTCGTAAATAAAGTCAGAGATGATAACATATTTCTGACTTGGGGAGGAGTCTCGGAAACATGCATCCATTTCAGCCCCTGTCCACCAGGGGGTGCAGCTTCCTAACACAAACTCATTTCCTGAGTGAAATGTAGGCTTTGATTTATCATTTCACTGTGACTCCAACATTTCTTCATGTTAAGAATCAAGAACATTGTTTAGACGATTCTCTGGAGATGAACTCTGCTCCAGGCTTAGTGACTGTGGTACTCTTAATGCTTCGTAAGTAAAATGCAGCTTAAAATTTGGATTCTTTTTTCTGTTGTGTCAGCAAAATCTTTAACCATAATTTTATCCCAGAGCTTTATGCCCAAGGTGACACAGATCTCTTATTTTTCCCCAGGACAAACCTATGGAGACTCAGTGACCCAGATGGAAGGCCAAGTGACCCTCTCAGAAGGAGATTCCCTGACTGTGAACTGCACTTATTCAACCACAGGGTACCCCACTCTTTTCTGGTATGTGCAATATCCTGGAAAAGGTCCACAGCTCCTCCTAAGAGCCACAAAGGCCAACGAGAAGGGAAGCAACAAAGGTTTTGAAGCCACATACAATGAAGGAACAACCTCCTTCCACTTGGAGAAAGACTCAGTTCAAGACTCAGACTCTGCTGTGTACTACTGTGCCATGAGTGACACAGTGACGGGAGCTGCAGGGGGAGCTGAGCACAAACTCTGAGCAGCAACAAGGGGCCTGGCTGCTGAGTGTCAGACTGTTTGATCCACTCTGGTTTCATCACAGTCTGTGGTTGTTTGTCCCTCAGTATCTGGTTGATGCAAAAATCACACAAATGGCTAGAGCTTAAGAACAAGAAGGGGGAGAGAAGTCAAGATGGTGGTGTAGGCAGATTCTGAACTCACCTCCTCCAGCGACACAGCCAATTTACAACTACTCATGGAAAAATAACCCTTGAGAGAGAACTGAAAATTGGATAAGAGGAACTCCTGTAACAAAGGACAATCCTAATTGAGGTGGAAGAGGCAGAAACCCCCTTCTGAGAGAAAAAATGCCATCTTCACAAGCTGCCAGCTTCACGGCCGCCCAGGAGCAGCACAAAGGTACGCAGCCCTCCCTGGAGGAGTGGGGCCCTGAGCCGGGAGCACCCCCACTGTAGGCACTTTGTGGACCCAGCACAATTGAGACGAGTGGCATAATATCTGACTTTGCCTGCTACTGAAACATTGGGGAGTACCCCAAGAAAAGCTGATTCACAAAGAAATTAAAACCGGCTCTTAAACGGCCCAAGCGCAAACTCACCCATTTCAGACAGCAACCTAAAATCAGCTGAAAGAAAGGTGCAAAACACTTTGAGAAAAAGAGACTCACCTGATAGGCTCTGAGTGTATTGCAGTGAGAGGTGAGACCTCTCCAGGGACTGGGACATTGGCGGTGGCCATTGTTGTGGCCTTGTGTGGGCATGCTGACACAGATGCCATTGGAGTTCTTCCTGGGGCCTGCTAGCCCAGGGTCTGCCCCACCCACTAGAGCACCGATTTAATCCAGCTCAGCCAGGGCAGGCAGCCCACCCTAGAGACTGGCCCCACCCAACAACAAGCCCTCAGGTAACTTGTGGGCCTGCATAGATTGGTGACTGGATTCTCTGCAGCCTGGCTACTGAGCCCACTTCAGTGGGGCAGGGGGTGCACAAGGAGCGAGTTGAGAGTGTGGGGCAGTGGTGGAGTGTGTGGGGCTCCCGCCATGGAGAGACTGGGTCCACTTCAGGAGGTCAGGGCATGCACACGGGGCAAGACTGTGTTGACTGTGTGTGTGGACCTATGGGCGGCAGGGCTTGTCAGCTGCAGAAG